AACTACACGTAAAAAAAAAAAAAAAAGAATGTAGTATTTCATTTTTGTGGAGGTTGGGGTTTTTTTCTCCTGTGCATTTTTGTTCAATGGCACCCAGCGCAAGGTGCGCTCACAGCCAGGCTGTGGGAGCTCATCGGGGCCAGAGAACCAGGCTGGGTGGAGGGACAGCAGACCCGAACGGGGTCAGCCCCGGCTGCAGGAGGGGACCCTCGGCGGCAGCCAGGACATCACCGTGTGGCGTGAGGAGCATGAGCTGTCCCCTCCACCCGCGGGGCTCACCCAGTGCCCGGCAGTGCCAGAGGCTGAGACGCCCCGGCGTGGGAAGGGGCTCGGGGGTCTCGATGCTGGTGTGATTTTATCACCTGGAAATTGTCAGCAATCCAGCAACAGATTTTTTATTTCCCTCCTCTCCGCCTCACCCCTTGCACCTCTTCTGCTCCTCTGGCTCTTCAGCCCTGATGCCACAGACTCATCCCCATCCTGGACCCCCTTCCCGGAGGCAGGAGCATCACACCCGGTCGGCTGAAGGCCCGCGGGAAGGAGACTGAAGAGCCAGATGCAACACAACGAGGCCCTGAGCAGCCGTACTGGGTGTCCCACTGCCGGGGAGCTGGGAAGAGGGGGGCTCCGTGTGCCTCCTCCAAGCGCTTGGGGTTCACATAGGGCCTGGGTCCAGCACCAAGCCCCCAATGGGGACAGCATGGGGCAGGGTCCCAGCGCAGATCCTGCCCTCCCCGCACAGCAAAGCTCCCCCCTCCTTCCACAATTACTGCCCAAACCAAGCGGGAGTTAGACCAGGGAGCGGGGAGATGTGAGCTGCGCATTAACATCTAGAGGCGACCGCCCCCCCTGTCCCCTCCATCCCGCTGCCTCCGTCACGCTGCCTGGGGCAGGCAGGGGCGGCCGGGAGAGTGAGATGTAACAGGGAGCAGAGAGAGAGAGGGTGGGAAAGGGGGAAAGGAAAGGAAGGTCTAGGGGGGAACATTCACCATGGGGAGAAAAGGTGGTCCCCGGGGGCTGAGGGGGCAACTGGAGCACAAAACCACTCAGCTTGGGAGTCTTGAGCTGCTGCAGGATTAAAAGTCAAGGTAAGCAAAAGGATGAAAGCACAGGCATACGCGCTGCTCCTGGTTTGCAACAAGGAGGGTCCCTGGAGATATCATCCACAGCTCTCTGTCCCCACATGAGGTCCCTGGCCTCTGCCTACAGCATGCTGCTTAATGAGGGCATCTGATTTACTATCCAGGAGTCTCCCAGGGTTAATTAAGAGCCTGCTGTGCTCCTATTGGCCATTGCTCCCTATAACATAAGTTATTTCACTGCTGCAATTAAATACTCGATTGCAATTAATGTAGGAGGCAGGCGCTTGAGCCGGAGGGCATCGCCGGGGTCCCGCAGAGCGACAGCCGGTGAGACCGACCTCGCCGCTGGGCCACGGCACCCCTCCCCCTCCAGCCTCTATGGTGGGGGGGAGCACACCCGGCCCCCCCGTGGGGGCGCGGATGTAGCCGTAGGCGATGGTTTTGTCGATGGCAAATCCGAAGTCTGCCCGACGGATGTGGCCCACCACCTCGCCGTCCCGCCAGACTGCCTCCAGGCCGAACATCGGCACCTTCCTGCCAGGCGAAGGCAGAGCTGCCATCAGCAAAGCCCCACGCAGGGACCCCATGGGGCGGAGGAGCTGGGGGGGACCGTACCCCAGCTCTGCCCTGGGCCAGCCCAGGTACCAGGGCTCCTGCTGCCCACAGGTTCGTTAACCTCCCCGCACTGATCCCAGACACTGGCTAAGCCCCTCCAGCCTGATTCGCAAAGCCTCCTGCTGTTCTGGGTGAAACAAGATAAACCCGCTCCCTGTCACACCATTTCCAGCTCCCATTAAACATCCAGCGGGGAATTTGCAGTGGGATTTAAATAAAAGAAGGAATTAGAGCATGGAAAACAGCCGAGCCGGCTTGCAGCTGCGCTCCACCTGCGTTCCCGGGATGGGGATGGCTGCAGGTGCCTGTCCCAGGGCGGCCACTGGTGTTGGTGCTGCCCGGCGCTGAGCAGAGCCCGGCCGCACTGGTACTCACTCCTCGGTGGTGAAGCAGACGAGGCGGCGGAAGACGCCCTTGGCTTTTTGAGCCTCCACAGCCTCCCGGCCCAGGAAGGGGACGGCGGACTTGAGCTTGCAGGTGAAGGCTAAGCCTGCTTCTAGCGGGGTATCGTCGGGGCGCAGGTCTGCGTGCCAGTGCCTGTACCCTGCAGAGAGCAAGCATGGGTCACCCAGCCTCACCCTGCCATGCCAGCCAGCCCAGGGTGACCAGCACCAGGAGACCAGGACATCACCCCTGCCTCTTGGACACCTCTGTCGCCCTCGATTCGCTTGGCCCTGGACAAACCACCCTCAAGAGGAGCCAGGATCAGGGAAGTCTCAGCAAGGAGTGCTGGGGCTGGTGGTATCTCTGCCGGTAGCTGCCAGACCTCCAGTCACACTAACCCGCCCTTGAAGATGGGAAAAACCCACGCGCACTGGTCCCCCAGCCGGAGGCAAAGCAGCGAGCGCTGCCGTAAGGAAAGGAAGAAAAACATTTCTCGATGCTGAGGC